TTGTAATAACTTCAGGAGAAAAAATTATTAGTTTAGCCGGAATTATTGGCGATCAAGCCACCGCCTTAAAATCCAGCACCAAAAATATTTTTATTGAATGTGCTTCTTTTAATCCAGTCACCATTAGAAAGACCGCTAAAAGTTTAAATATTTCTACCACTGCTAGTCATTTTTTCTCTCGTCAAACTAATTTAGTTTTAACTCCTCAACAAGTCCTTGCTCGAGTTATCTCCCTTATTGTTGAAACATACCAAGGAGATATGGATTCGGGAACATTTTTTCCTTATCAGAAAACAGAAAAAAAGGAATTAACAGTGGCTATTAGTCAAGAATTTATTACTAAAAAAGTTGGACAAGTGCTACCTGAGCAAACTATTGAAAGGGTTTGAAAACAATTAAAATTTACTTATCAAAAAAAAGCAAACATTTATTATGTCAATTCGCCTTTATCACGCTCAGATATCACTAGTCCGGAAGACTTGTTAGAAGAATTATTACGGGTTTATGACTATAACCAATTAGTTAACGCACTCCCTGATAACTTTCGAACTACCATTTCTGACCACCAAAAAGAATTCTTCAAATCAAAAAGAACTCTCCAAACTTATCTCACTAACCAGGGCTGACAAGAAATTATTACTTATTCATTGATTTCATCAGAAATGAAAAATGATTTTAACCATTCAGTCAGTGATGAGTTTTTTCGATTGTTAATGCCAAAAAACGAGTACCATGAATATTATCGGCAAACACTTATTCCTAGCCACTTAAAAGCGTTGAAATATAATCTTTCTCATGGAAATAAAGATCTCTTTTTTTTTGAAATTAGTTCAGTTTATGGTGCTCCCCACCAGCAAGAGGAATTGTTAACTTTAAGTGGAGTAGGTAAACTTTTTAATCAACCACTTCATAAGTTAGTCCACGAAATAGACTTTTACTGACTAAAAGGAATATTGGAAAACATTTTTAGTTTATGGAAGATAGAAAAAGAAATTTCTTTTACTCTCCCTTCCCTTAATTACTTATATTTTCCTCAAAGTGCAGAAATATTTATTGGCGAGGAAGGCATAGGTTTTTTTGGTCGTCTTCATCCCCAAATTGCCCAAAAATATCAAATTAATGAGAATATATTTGTTGCTCAAGTTTCTTTAAGCCGGATAATTGACTATTTAAACCGCTTTTCCACCCCAATATCTTATCAGCCAGTTTCTAACTTCCCAAGTAGCACCAAAGATTTATCATTTATCTTTTCTGAAAATATTAATTATGGAGAAGTTATTGAACTAATAAAGGAAGTAGTAGGCAACAATTTGCAAGAAATAAAGGTTTTTGATGTTTACCAAAATGCCGAGTTGGAGAGAACAGAAAAAAAATCAGTTAGTTTTCACTTAATTTTCCGAAGTTCCAGCAAGACCCTAGAAAGCAAAGAAATAGAAAAAATATTAGAAAATATTATTGAAAGGGTGGAAAAAGTATTTATGGCAAAATTAAGGGGTTAGTAACTTATTAATGAACTTAATTTAGGATGACAGAAACTTTTTTTTTTTGCTTCCTAAACTTTTTTAATTTTAACTTTCAATAACTACTTTCGGAGCGGGATTAGAGTGTAAATAATTCCCGCATCTTTTAACATTCTTTTGGCAGCCATTATTGTCTCTTTTTCATGGTATTTATCATGGGAATAGAAAATTTGTTTTATCCCGGCTTGGATAATCAATTTAGTGCATTCATTACAGGGAAAAAGAGTAGTATAAAGGGAAAATCCCTGACAATCTTGTCGAGCATGAATTATAGCGTTGGCCTCCGCGTGAACCACATAGGGATATTTAGTTTCTAGTCAATTTTGGTTATCATTTTCTCAGGGATAATTATCATCTTTGCAGCCTCATGGTAAGCCATTATAACCAGTAGCAATAATTTCTTTATTACTATTAACGATAACTGTTCCAACTTGGGTATTTGGGTCTTTGCTCCGTAAAGCACAAACTTGGGCAATGGTGATAAAATATTCTTGTCAAGTTAAATAATTGCTTCTTTTGGGCATAGATAAAAAGTTATTGGGGGGTTAGAGAGGAATAATTTTGATTTTATCAGGTAAATTTAACTTAGTTTTAGTAGTATGATCAAGAGATTTCTCAATTCCCTCCACTAAATAATAATTATGAGTTTTTAATTCAATTCCTTTCAAAGCGGGGTGATTCCAAAGAATTCGAAAGCCTTTTTGTTTCTCTCAATTGTAGAAAGCACATCATGGAAATTTTTTCGCCTCCTCATTCAAATCTAAATTTTTTTTCTTCATTGATAGTAGGAGTCTTATCGGTTAAATTTTGTTCAGAATTATGTCTTTTGTAAATCCAGAAAATAGCAACTCCAATTATTATTAAAACAATAACCAACAATGAACCAAATAAGATTTTTTTTGACTTCATAATCCTCTTATAACTATTATTTTATGCTTTTATAAATATAAGCAATAAAGTCAGAAAATTCCTCTCTTTTAATTAGTTTGCAATTTTTAAATGGCTTTTCCAATGAATGTTTTTTTTGTTTTTCGTTTGCTTCTCCATTTGGAAAAGGAAAGTAAATATTTCCTTCATAGGTTCCTTTCACTATTGAAACATAATAAAAATCAGCATAAAAGTAAGTTTGTTGATAAATTTCCCGTCCACCAATTACAAAAATATCTTGGTTTTTATTTCCTTTATAGTTCTCCAAAACTCCTTCTAAATCGCTGGTAAAAATCAAGTTTTTATCTTGCTGGTTCTGATATTTTTCTTTATTTTTAGTAATTACTATATTATGACGGTTTTTCAATGGTTTACCAATACTTTCAAAAGTTTTAGCACCCATTAGCACTGTATTTCCAGAAGTAATTTGCGAAAAATATTTCATTTCAGTAGGAACTTTCCAAGGAAGTTCATTATTCTTACCAATTAGATAATTTTGATCCATGGCTCAAATTAGATTTATCATATTTTAGGGGATTTTTTGCTTTATTTTTAACTGAATTCTTCAATATTTACTACTCGATTACAAACTTTTTGATTAAAATAACGGTCATGGGAAACTGCGAAAATTGATCCCGGAAAATTTATTAATTGGTGCTCAATTTTTTCTAAACTTAATAAATCAATATGATTAGTAGGTTCGTCTAAAATTAAAACATTTGCACCTTGGAGAATGATTTTAATTAATTGAACTTTACGACGGCAACCGATACTTAACTGCGATAAAGGTAAGGTTAATTCTTGGGAATAAAAAATACCAAAACTCCCTAATTTTTGGATAATTTCTTCCTTTTCTAGTTTAATAAGTGGGTCAGTTTCTAACGATTCGATAACCGTTTGGTTTAAATT